CTTACCTTATGTTGAGTTTTTATCACCAACTCTGGATTAATTTGACCTCTTAAATAACATTTTCTACCAATTGTAATACCATATACTTGGGAAAGTTAAAGGAAGTGTTGACCAAGGTGCTGTTTGGCCTGAAGGCAGCTTCACACAGTCTGTGATGCAATGCCCTGAGATAACAGATAACAGGTGAACTACATTCCTCAAGAGGAGAGGAAAGAGCATACCAGGAAAGGTATGTGCCAGATCTGCTCAGAGAAGGAAGCAACCTCGGGCTTGGGAAAGGAGTGAAGAGAAGGGTCTATTTGAGGAGTTCAAACCATAGTGTGGGATGGAGCTAACCAGAGTTGGAAGTTCATCTTCCATCCTTGCCACCCAAATTCTTCGATGAACATAAATTACCACAGCTCACTGTAGTTTGGCTTCCATGCCTACTGCTCTTTGAACTCAGTTCTGGTTGATAAGGCCAGCTACGTTTGTCTTGATAGCATGGTTTTTGCTGCAACACTGGCTGTTGTAGATCCCATACTACATTGTCTCTGATTGCTTATGACTCCAAAGTTTATTACAAGACACCCAAGTATACCAAATGGAATCTAAATTCCTGTTCAGTGCTATTGAGTAAGGGAAAGTAATTGACATCTCACCCTGCCTCACACACCTCTAGACAGTAAGGATTTCTCAGTGAAGTGGTTATAAGGAGTAATAAAGTAGGTGATGGGCTGAAGTAAATGACTTGGCATTCGACATGAGGATTGATTCCCTTTTCCCACTCCTGCACTTCTGCTTAGGTATTCCCTCCTCGTAGGGTTCCTCATTTCTCTTTACCTATTGCAGTGCTATATTATATGGTATAGTAAAATACCCTGGATGCTTTATCATCAAAATAGAACCATTTCTATTCCAAATCCTAAGGGTTATTTTTTTTTGGCAGCTCAAAGTTGCTACCACACATTGGTTATTGCTCACGTTTGTTTTCCCCACTGGATGAATTTTTTATTTTTAATTTATTGTTATATTTTTGAGGCACAGCCCACGCCAAGCTTCCAGGGTGATCTCATCATGCTATTTTTTCTTTGTTTTCCTTTTCATTTCTTTTCTCCTAATGATAACCATATGCTGCAAATTCCCTATTCTTTTTTCCTCCAGTTCTTATTACCCTCCTGTGCTTTCCTTGTAACCAAATTAACCAATGACTAGAGAATGTCTCCAGCTGACCACCCACAGGCCCTTGGAAGCCACACATAATCAAAATTGATCTCAGTCTCCTTATACACCACCCTCCCACAGTGTGCCCTCTTCTGGTAGCTCTCCTGTCACAGTCCCACCTGGTCCCAGGAGCAGAAACATGGACCTCGTTCATTCCTTCTCCTGTGCTGCCTATATTTAACAGACTGCCAAATCTCAATTCATCTGCCTCCTAAGCATCCCTCAAATTCATTCTCCTTTCTGTACCAATTACTGTTACCTAGTTTTGAGCCTTCTCCTCTTAACCAATTTTAACCCAAAGGTCTTTCTCACAAATCTACGGTCTTCATTCTTCCAAGTCTGCCACACTGCCTCACAAAAGAGTCCCTTGGTGACTTCCTTTCATGTGTATCAGGGATAGGAACAATTGGTGTTCTGTTGAACAGTCACTGAACTTTTTGCCCATGGCATACCTGCTGCAAATGCAGTCCCTGGTTTTGGTGTGCTCACATAGTAATGACTAGCAAGTACCTCAAAGAGTGGGGAGCACGGGATGCCTAGCTAAGATGGTGCATGGCTCCTTAGCATGGCAGACAAGCTCTTTCCTTCATGACCCTTATCCTTCCCAAGCCTTTCTCTTCTCCTCCCCCCCCCCCCCCCCCCCCCCGCTGTTGTGCTGCACACTTGGCACTGGAACAGCAGGGAGCTCTTCTGCTCTCTTGTTTTGGTTCAAGATGAACCACTTTCCTATATCTGTGTTGGGAAGCCCACACTCATGCGGGCATCCTTACTATGTGAGATGAGGGTATCAGAAGACCTATCTGAGGCTGAGTGGGTTTTTTTTTTTATGTTGAGGGTTTTAGGATTCAAAGAGATGAGTGAGCAGTCTTGTAGAATGCTTGCGTTTGATTCCTTGGATTCCGAGAACCCACATAAGGCAGCTCACAACTGCCAGTAATTCCAGCTCCAGGGGAATCTGAGGCCTCTGGCTTCTGAAAGTACCTGCCCTTCTGTGCATATACCCATATGCATAATTAAAAATAATTTAGCCTTAAAACATTAAGGCTTTTAATTGACAAAAAAATGCTTGTTTATCATGCCCTACATGACATTTTGAGATATGTATGTTTTGGGATGCTGCTTTTGAGTGTTTTTTTTTTTTTTTTTTTTTTTTTTTTTTTTTTTTTTCCTATAGTCTCCTGTGGCACCTGTGTCCCCTCTGAAACAGTAGATGTCTCATAGTATTGTAATTCTGTGTCTGCCTTACAAAAGGCAGTGGATTCCATTAGATCAAATCTAATACCTCATTTAGCTTGAACTTCAATATGTACCATAGTGCCTTCCCTATAATGTATATTGGGTATGAAACTGAATTGAACTGAAATACATACATAAACAATTTTGTTTTATAAACGTGCTTTGCCTTCTTTAAATTTAAGTTTGATTAATGAACATGGTGGGACTGGGTAAGTTTGAAAGCTCTGTAGGGAATTCACTTGCCGACGCTGGTAGTGAGTGGACATTGAGAGTTCTGAGCAGAGGAATAGCATGATGAAAGTGGTATTTAGAGAAGATTGCTCTAGAAACAAGCTTAGTGGGTGGGGTTGGGCTGCAGAAGGACTGAGCCAGTGCTGGGAGTCACAGCTTTCCAAGTCGTTTCCTGAGCTCTGTGCTTTCATTCCCGCATCTGCTCAAGTGGGGTGTTCTTGCTGGCATATTCCTGTCGACAAAAAAGAATGCTGACATCATCATCATTATATTTGGTTTTTTTGAGACAGGGTAGTTTCTCTGTGTAACAGTCTTGGCTGTCCTGGAACTAGCTCTGTAGACCAGGCTGGCCTAGAACTCACAGAGACCCACCTGCCTCTACCTCCCGAGTGCCGGGATTAAATGTGTGTAACACCACCACCCGGCTAGCATTATTTTTACTTTTGAGCAAACCACATTTCTGTAATATACCCAAGTGAGCCACCTGCATACTTACCTGTGAGAATGATTTATCATGAAGTACTAGGAAAGAGAGATTCTGTGACCAGTATTTAAAAGCTGAGTAAGTGCATTGTGCAGCCCCCCCCCCCCCGCCCGGTCTTCTGGTCCGTGGAAGTTTTCATTTTGGAATATGGTTAATTATGCAGAAAGCATTTCAGTTTGGTTTGCCATTGCTAGCCTGCTTTGTGGCTGACCATTCTCATGTTGGTGTTGTGGTTTGCCTCACTCGCAACCCATTTGCATTTTGTGCTTGACTCATGTGACTAATTCCTGGTTAAAGTTTATCTTTCATTTGTTTTGGAGCATGTAACTCTACTCTGCTTTATTCTGCGTATTATTAGCCATTGTAAACGTCTCGACTTAGAGTTGCTTGATTTATTTATTTATTTTTCAATTGCAGGACTATGACTCACTGATCAAAAAGGACGCTTCCAACTACTTTGCACTTTTGGTTGTGTATTATGGATACTAAGGAGGAGAAGAAGGAACAGAAGGAACGGAAACAGAGTTATTTTGCTCGGTAAGCATTTATTTTGCAAAAATTATATCAGAGCTTTAAGACAGTAACACTTGAGAGGACCTTGACGTTGAAATTACTTGGCACTTTGTGTTCTGTGAGATTGTTAAGCAGGAGAGTGGGTGACCAAAAAGTTAAATATCCTCCATTTTGTCCTTTGTAAACTTAGAATCCCATCTCTATGTTAATGGTTTTCTGAGGCTCCAGCCCCTCATAGGATATAGCAGTCCAACCTGTGAGTTGCTTGAAATTCTGATTTAGTAGCTTCCCTGGAGTTTTAATTCTAGGTGCTTAGCTCCTGCTGGCCAGAAACTTAATTGACTGGGCACTAATTTAAAATCTGATGCACTTAAAACTTTACAGAGAATCAGGACGAAGAAGCATGTATTTTGTAGGTGGAATGGGTGAGATGATGCCATTAGAGTCCGAGTCTTATGGCCTCAGCTCCTCTAATGTATGTGCACTTTATGATAGAGTATCTGGTAGCTAGCTACAGGTTCAAGCCACTGTTTGCCTGGCATTGGTGTCTGCTTGTTTCAGGTTCAAGCCACTGTTTGCCTGGCATTGGTGTCTGCTTGTTACAGGTTCAAGCCACTGTTTGGCTGTCACTCACTAACCATAATTAAGTGATCAGTGATGTTGTTGATCTCAGAGAGAGACTAGTTTTCAAGTCATCATGCTCTTAAGTTGGTTTGCTTAAGAACTGAATTTAGCCTCATGGTATCCCCAACCCGCAATCTATGCTTAGAAAGATTCATTTCCATTTTCTAAATAGACGACTTAGAACTAAAACCAAAATAGTTTTTGGTCAATGACTTTATCCAGAAATTAAGCTATGTTTTAGACTTTTAAGGGAAAAGGGCACTAGGTTGATGACTTACTGTGTGTGAGTGCTTTAGTGTATATTGTCAAAGTAAGTCCTGGACGTGGGTTATTTTAGTTCTGTTTAACAAGCAAGGTAAGTAAGAATCAGAAAATGCTGTGTTCATTTCACGCAGCATGAGGGTCAGTATTCAAGCACAGGGCTATCTCTAAAGGATGTGCCCCAGTTACAGTAACAAATCCCAAATCAGGCACTTGGGAAAGCAGGAGCTGAAGTATTTATTGTAGCAGAATGTTTCCTGCTTTTGGGACTAGAGAGAGTAACAGCATAGGGGAAGGAAGAAATCAGCCTTGTAATGGATGAGCCATTAGAAAAATAGTACACTTAGGGTAAGAACTATATAACTGTTTTAATACAATTATCTATTTCCTTGTAGATATATGTAATGTTAGAGAAATCCTGTATTCTGCATTCACTTCCTCCTTAGTAGTAACATGTTGTACTAGGAAGCTGACATTCTTATGGGATGCCACCCTCTGTTTAGTTTACCAGAATTACGTGTGTGTGTGTGTGTGTGTGTGTGTGTGTGTGTGTGTCTTCGTGTG